GCCTTGGATGGACGTACGACATACATAAACTGAATTGAAACAATCTTTCAACGTTCACCTCCGAGAACAGAGGCCAGTTTTACCAACAGAAAAATAGCAGCCCGGCGCAATTTTTCTGTCAAAAACCAGCCGACGAGTTTCACCAACCAGGCGAAAAAATATCCGCCGGCGTAAAAAAATATCAGCCAGAAAAATAGCCAATGAGTTTCACCAACGGCAAATGCGGCATTAATGGAGTGTTACTTTGCGCCATTATTTGTAGAAAAACAGCCCAAAAAATAGACGGGCGACCCCGTCTATTTTTTTGATGTTGTGTTGGAACAATTGCCCTCATTTGTTACTGATTATCGTGATTTGCGCTTCCCAGTTGATATAATAATTTAGTATCATTCATGGCCAATTTGTAAAGCATCTGGGCTTCAAGATTAGAAGAGGAATACTGATGATATTGCGTAAAGAAAGAGCCTTTGTCACCAGTCAGGACCAAAAGGAACCAACAAGACTGGTGTTTGGTGTTGTGTTAGTTTTTTCGTTTATATTATCTTTTTGCTACAAGCACCCAACAGCAAGATGATAGCACATTATTAACTAGTGGTCGGCTTACAAGTTCATTGCTCGTGCGAGTCGCACGGAAGTGGAAAATAATGATGGAAGATCATTTTCGAAAATTGAAGGTGCTTGAACAAATGCTGGAAGGAGAGGCAGAGAGGGTAGGCTCATTGGACTCAAGATTTTAAATAAATATGTCACTGTTTTCACATATTCAGCTACATTTGACAATGCAAGGTGCCAACTACTGATACCACTACTACTTTTGGGTGGAACTTACTTGAGCTGTGCGGAATAGGGAAGGTGCAATTGACATGGCTAAGACCAAAATGGCAAGATTTTCAAGATCAATGACAGTAAATTAAAAAAAAAAGAAATTGAATAGCATGAAAGAAATGTATAAAGGCTTGTTTTTGAAGCCAAACGTGCAAAGTTTGCATGGTTGCGAACCCGAACAAACTTGCTGTCATAAGATTGTGCCACTGAGCTCAGCAAGTCATGCTGCCAATATTGAAGGAAAAGAAAATAATGTAATGTTGTAAGATGTAAATGAATCCATAACTGTTGTGTGTGCACTGTGCTGATATTGAATGCATGTGTATCTTGCATGCATGAGTCATGCAGGGATCATGTTAAAACTGGCTGTAAGTAGGTATTGTGAGTAGTTTTGCAAAATTGTGGAGGCACCAGGCAAATTGCGGCCGAAATGTTATTTGTTCACCTCAGCGCTGAAATTTCTGCTCACAGAGTTTTCAGATCATGCGCCGAAATGTTCATGCAGCCCATCCGTTACACTGGTCATGTTGACAGTGACAAGGTTTTTTTTCCCAGTCTCATGTTGAAATACAATAATAATTCACTTAGCTTGATTTTAGCTTATGTTTTTCATGCCAGTTCCTAGAATAAAGCAGCCAATATTTTCTGTCATGTGAGAAATATAATAACAATATGCACAATTGCAGGCTGTGGCATGTTCTGAGGTTTTTCCTTGTTTATTGCTGAGGTTTTTCCAGTCTCTGCTGCAAAAACGGTGATGAATCCACCATCGTCCGACGGTTTCGATGACGCCAATCATCGGCGAGTGTTGCTGTGATGGCCGACCTGACTGAGCGCACAGCGGCAGCCGCCGTCGCCAATAACGACAGTGAGGACACCTCCGAGTCGGACGGAGACGCCGCCGCTGACGACTTCACCGTGCTGGACGAGGTGGAGCGCTCGAGCCGACAGACTGTGCACCGCGTGCGCTGCCCGACTGGCTGGCGCACCTGCAGCCGATTGGCGACCGGCGGCCGGCGCCGGGCAATCTGCCGGCGCTCTGCCCCGAGCTGCGCGCCCGGCTGGCCGCCGAGGGCATCGAACAGGTGTTCCTGGTGCAGGTGACCGTGCTGCCCGAGCTGCTGGCGGCCGCAGAGTCGCCACTGCCACCGGCCGACCTCTGAGTCTCGGCGCCGGCCGGCCGCTCGGTGCCCGCCGTGTTCCGCCAGTACGACGCCAACACGCCGCTCTGCGTCCAGCTGCTGGGTGGAGACACAGTGGCACGAGGGGGCGCCAACTGGTGGCGGTGGGGCCGCGCGGCCCGGCCTCCCTGGCTGATCGTGGTGAGCACTCCCGGCTGGCTGATGGATCACATAACCAGCGCCGAGGGCTTCTCGCTACCGCACCTGCGCTACCTGGTGATCGACGAAGCCGACCGGGTGATCGAGACGGCCGAGACGGGCTGGCTGAAAGCGGTGGAGCGGGTGGCGGCGGCCACGGCCCGCCGCCCTGCATCGCCGGCCGGCTGACGGCCGCCGCCGTCTGCGCGCCTCACCTGCCGCTTCAGAAGCTGCCATTCTTGGCCACCCTGTCACAGAACCCGGAGGCCGGAGAAGCTGGAGCGAATGTCGCTGTTCCAGCCGCGACTGCTGGTGGTCGGCACGGCGGCCGCCGCCGTCGCACTGCCCGGTCAGTTCGTCGGCAGGTTCACCACGCCGGCCGAGCTGAGCGAGTCCTTCAATGTGGTGGCGCCGCAGCCGCTGAAGCCGCTGCTGATGCACCATTTGCTCCGACAGCCCGACTGGCGACGCTCGCTCGTGTTGGTCAACTGGAACGAGGTGGCGCACCAGCTGGAGCTACCGCTGTCTGTGCTGGGCGCGCGCGTGACTGAGTTCTGTGGGGTAGTGCCGGCGAGCCGGCGGCGGCGCGCGCTAGCTGAGATGGCCGCGCTGGTGTGCTCGAGGCTATAGCGCGCGGTATTGACGTGGACGCCGTGGACGCGGTCGTGTCGTACGACATCCCGGCGCTGTTGAAGACGTACACTGCGTGCGTCGGACGGCGCGCATCCGCCGGGCCGGCCAGGCGGTCAAGCTAATGTTGGAGCGGCAGCGCAGCAATTTCCAGCGGCTGATGGTGCAGGCGGGCGGCCGGGTGCGGGAGACGCTGGCGCTGCTGGACGAGCTACGAGCTGCGCCAGTACGAGGCGACCTACGTCAGTGGATTTCCACACTAGCTTTTAGTGGATCGCTGTTGTTTTTTATGCTCATTGCTCATGATTTATTTACATTTTAGAAATATTGCAATGAAATAGATGTATGCCTTGTCATCAGCCTAGAAAACTTAAAGTAAGTAAAGCGTTTTAGTTGCATAATGTATGTTTGTTCATGAACATGGATTTAACATGTCCTAACTCCCAAACATTTCGATATTAGACCCGAGTTACAAACCAATCGAAAGGCTTAGACGATCATTTGGGGCGTAGCCAGACGGCTCGGCTGGGTGTGAAAGCCGGCGACCAAGGTGGTGACCACCCGATCATAATGCACAGCGGTCTCCGTCGGACGATTGTGTCCGCGCGCAACGAATGATCTGGGCATACGCAGAGGAGTTCGGCAGGACTCTCCACTGAGCGGTACTGGGCGCAGTCGAACGACGGTCGACGACGCTAGCGCAGGTATTGTTAATTTGTTACGACTTACGATCCGGACCAGTGTAGCGGGCCCGGAGCAAATATTCTTTGCTGTGTGGCGTTCCTTCTTCTCGACCGGGCCCGGCAAACGGGGCCTGCATATCGGCTAAAACCACCTAGCCGGGCAGTCTGACCTCCACCTCGCCGAAGCGGAGCGAGCGACCACCCTCAGCCCTGCAATGACCGCGGTGCAGCAGTTAATCTGGGTAGGTATTTTCCTAAGGTAAGACACTTGCCTTTGCACAATGCTTTACATATATAGGCTAGGCCTTGGCGAGTTCGTTAGCCCTCTTACTCCCGCTAGAAGGTGCTAATGCAGTGCACGCGAAGCCGCCTCGTAGCACCGCAGTTCAACTTCAATCGCTCGGCAGCGGAACTGTCCGTCGTCCGTCCAGCTTCAGGTGGCGTCTCTGGGAGCAATGCTGACCGCTTATTTGCCGCTCTTTTGAAAGCTAGGAAAGAGGTGCGGCTCCCGGATCTGTCGGGAGCGGGACTCATAGGCGGCGGAACGGGTAGGGCACCGGGGCACCGTGCCCCCCTTTGATTTTGACATTTTAATATAAGCCCTATGGGCGTTGCATCGAAAGAATGGGACCAAAAGTCGGCAGTGACCCCTTAATTGAAGGTGTTCCGCTGCCACTGGAGTGGGTCTCATCTAGTCCCCACCACATAGCTGGAGGTCCACACATTGCGTTCTCGGTCTACACGATGAGTTTCTACAAGGTGCGACTAAAAACAGACAAAAAGGTACATAACAAGTTAAAGGTATTGTAAAAATTAATATAATAGGCTGACAGGAAAAAAGATCCATCTTAAATTTGCCTTAAATGCAAGCTTCCTTACGTCACCTTTATGAATGACGTGCCTACGTTTACAATTTGGTAGTTTTGTATTGTATTGGCTTTTGCTGGGCACCAGATATAGATATGAATGTTTATAATGCTCTACTTTGTTTTTATTACTCTTGAAAATAATGTAATAATTTACGATTATAATATTTCGAAATGTATATAGCATTTGCATTAGAAATCACGCTTCAATTTGATTGAAAACATGCTTTAAATGATTTATTAATCTCCTTGACATATCGTAATTTGATATCGTAACAGAATATCAGCTGACTACCGGCGACAAATAATTTCCGTCCGAAGTCGGCTGGAATTTTTTGTTTGTGAAACTCGTGGCTGTGTGGCGTCTATTTTTTCGGCTGGATATTTTATTTCGGCGGCCGGCTGGTATTTTTTGGTAAAACTGGCCTCAGTTGTTTTTTTTTAGGGGAGACATTTTGAACATGTGCCAATCGCACATCGTCCAAATTTGACGGTTTTTTCTTTCCCGCAGTTAAAGAAAACAAATTGATATTAGCTTCACAAGGATTATGCGCCACTTCATGATGCATCGTGTATCCCAATAGTGTTTCTGTTATATAACTGCATGCAGTGACATCCCATTTTTGTACATATTCAAACGTGTGCCGCGCGGCAACGTACTGGCTTTCGGTACTCACCAGAAGTGGAGTATTCCGCCCTTATCTTTGCTCAGTTGTGCTGGCTGGTCCGGGCTGCCTTGTCGAAGGCTCGGACATACCTTTGATCATTGGTTTTAAACACTACACCTTTGGGCAGCACCCGCGACAGCGTGTCACGATCCATGCACTGATCACTCTTCAATTTACAAACCACCGCTCACCCTACCGGCACCGACCCTCAGAGCTCAACTAACAGACCACGCAGAAATGCGACCAGTAACTGGTGAGCTGCTTCATTCACGTGATACGACGCCGGCCGGCCGCGGTCACCGCCAGCCTCTCCCTCCCCTCCCCCCTCGGAGACGGTCAGCAGTCTGACCAATCATCACGCAGAAACGAGATGCGTATTGCGTAGCCGGCGGGCAGATGGCACGGCAACGCCCGGGGTTGGAAAGGTCATGAACTTCTCACGGCTGGACTGGGGCCGGCAAGACTGAGGCGTTTTGTTGGTGTGCTTTGTCTTACATTTAGAGAAAGGTCAGAGCTGTCATTACCGTCTCATATAAACCGATTGATATTGCGTGGGCTATAACATAACGATATTACTAAAACACAAGTTGCTCAACTTTCATATATCTATTGATGTTGAAAGAGGTCCGTTGGAGAGAGGTCCGATTAAATAAAAAAAAAAATATGAATAAAATGTGCTGATCGAACAAAGACACATACCAAACCAAGTCATAACCAGGCGATCGGGACTGTGTCCGTAAAACAAATCCAGGGGGGGCAGGGGTGAAGGAAAAGTAGCATTTCAACAGGCATTCATTGGTCAATGGTAAGGTCATTTGTCGATACTGGAAAAAAATGGTTGAATGTCAAGTTTGTGTACCGACTGACGCTGTTGATGCAGTGACAGGCGGCTCAGGCGCTGGCATTGTCACCTTTAGCTACAGTCATACGTCATAGTGTGTGCCACTGTTCTACTAGTGCGGTTGACGGCCAGGAAAGGACAAGGAGTAAGGTAAAACAAATCAAGCCTTATCCCTCGCATGTGTGCGGCGTTTTCCAGCTTCTAATGTGTAGGGGGGGGGGGGTCGGTTGGACCCCCCCCTTGCCGTTTGGCCCCTGATCGAGCTAGAGCTTCGCGGAAAAAACGAGCGTGTTGCCCGTGACGAGAGGAAGCCGATGATACCCAATTTTAAGGTCCTAGGTCATTGGTTGACCTTCCAGGTCAGGTCAATGACCCAAGGTCGGGAAAATCGGGACCTGTTAGAAAGTCGTAAAGTGTGGCTGCTAAGGGGTTTTTCGGGGTGCTGATCACGAATATCGTGTTTGTTTTGATCACAGATGATGTCTTTAAGCATTTAGACCAGGTCGGGTCAGGTCAGGTCAGGTCAACCAGTAGGCGTCGTGACGGGTATTAGTATTACGTGTCAACCGCCTCTGACAGCTTCGTAACATGTTATTAAGTCACCAAAACTACTTCGTAAATGTTCAAATGGTTGCTAAATTCGAATTCAGCTCCAAAAACTAGCCTAGAAACATGTAAAACTCGAAAAAGTGAACCGAGGTCACCAAAGGTCAATGACCTGACCTGACCTTCAGGTGACCTTGACACCCACCCTAATGCATGGGAGCAACATCAAATCACATGTTTGAACGTTTGAAACCACGAAAAGCTTGCAAACGCGCGGCTAATGCGAGCCGACATACGCGGAATCGCGATTCCGGCCAAACATGGTCTCGGAAAAGAGGTCACAGGTCAAAGGTCATTGGGGTCAGGGTCATGAAATTTTCAGGGTAGGTGTAAAATTGATCAATGCGAGGGTACTGAAAGTTTCGTCGCGATCGGCCGCTTTTTACGCGAGTTATTCGCGAAAAACCATGGGGGGGGGTCCATCCGACCCCCCCCCCTACACATGCGAGGGTTATGATCGTAGCTAAGTTGGAACGGCGGACCATCAACAACACACATTGACCCAGGTCGGGTCAAACACCATCAGCTGTAACGGAACTGACGACTCCAACTAGTGGGAAACCTTACAGCTACATATTGTCACCCTCCTTATTAGAGGTGGCAAAAAGTGGAAATTTTGGGAACCATGGGCTCGAACCAGACCCGTCTGAACATATCTGGAACCAGTCGGACCCGGTCTAGGTTTGAATCGGAACCAGTTGGACCCGTTTCCCAAAGTTCAATCGAAACAAACTATTTGTAGGTATCATAAGTTGCATCATGTTAAAGTCTTTTTCCCACTGGAAATACTTTGAGCTACAGTGTGTAAAGAAACATACACGAGCAAAGGTTTTCTTTCCATTCACTTCATATTTTGCAATCAGGTGAAGTGCGAAAGATGTATGGTTTATGGTAGGACCCGGGTTGGACCCGTCAGAAAGTTTCCAGGAACCGGTTTAGACCCATATGGGTCCAAACCGGTTCTTAGTTTGGACCAGGACCGGGTCCTTGGGTCCACATTTTGCCACCTCTACTTCTTAATGTGCCTGTCTGCCGACACCCCTCCCCTCCCTCCTCCCACTGTCGTCTCGTCTCCGTTCCACACCCCTCCCGTCCCCTCTCCTCGTCTACCCCCACTTCTCGTATTCACCGGCCGCAGCGGACGAGATGAAGTCACATGATCAGAGATGGCTCTGGTTTCCATGCAAAGGACTGAGGAGCAGGGAGGCACTGCGCAGTAGAGGGACAGTGTTGACGGATCGAGCCCTGTCGGGGGTGTAAGAGGTAGGATAATAAATATGTGGCCCATCAACGGCCACCGTCCTGAAATGTTGCAAAATGCAAGTTAGCAGGTTATCTTGCATGAAAAAGGTAACTACCGTTTGATTTGTTTAAAATCACAATCCTCTACCTCTAGCTCACTTTCCTCCAACCTTGCTCCTACAAACACCACTGGGCACCGGCCAAGAAAATCGCAGCTTCAACTTCGAAACATTGTTTTCATCTCACCGATGCATTGCGCGTTGAGGGTACACCCTCTGACACAGCGCGCCGCCCGGCCGTCATCTGGCAGCGCTCCTGGTGGCGGTGCCAGCGACTGCGGTGGGCGGTGGTCATGCGCCGTTCGCCAGTCGAGGTCTCCGTGTGGTGGTGCGAGGGCGTGCAGTGCACGAGCAGGGTGTGAGGTGTGCTTTTACCAGGTGTGTTCAGGATTTTGCGACGATACTGCTAAGGATTGATACACGTGGCCATGTGGAGCAAAAAACAGGTGAGTTCACGCTCATTTTGACGGTGAAAAGCGTTCAGGAGTGTGACAAGGTCGAACCAAACCAACCAGATACGTACTTTCTCTCCTCTCGAGAACGTGAGGCTGGGAGTCGTGAAACGAACGCTGAAAGCTAATTCTTTCATTGCATTCTCCTATGTACAATGCAATGATAGCACTAGCAATTGGCGATTTAGAAAGAACAAAATACAAGACGATAAACTACTTCTACGATAATGATCTAAGACTATATTTGTCCGCAACATGGCCTTGTGGCCGTTAAATCGTGAGTTTCGTGCTTGCTCTTCCAAGAAAGATTTTGTGAACAAATATCTCACGGCACGTGGTGGATCCCATGATGATCAATAGGCAGAAATAGACGATGACCGGTTCTACTCATCCTCCTATGACCATCCTTCCATCCTCTGGCGCCTGTGACGTAAAATTAAAGTCTTTAACTGATAAAAGGCTAAGCATTGCATCCACTGGATGGAGCCGACCACAGAAGAAGAAGAAGAAGAAGAAGAGGACCTTTCCTTTAGCTCCTCCATTATCTACCGGGTGATCATTTTTGAATGATACAAAAACATTTGTTAATATCAGCCATGTGTTAAGCTGGATAGTTAAACCAAACACACCCATCGAACACGTACGGTGGGACATTTTATCTGGAACACACAGTCAGTAATTAATGTCAATAGCCAGCTTAGAGGAGGTGCCCAAAGTATGCACCCCTCGCGGACCGCCGACCAGCTGGGCTCCGCCCGATGCCGGGTTTGTCTGACCATTTTCTGCTGATTATCGCCGTCCCATGCTCCGGGTAAAGTTTCCTTCTACCACTATTAGATGTGCAATTGTCTTCGGCTCACATCTGACCACACCTGTCATTAGGTGAGGACAGACACTCAAGTACAGTCACGAGAAGTCCGGGCTGTAAGACGGGCGGTCGTGCTCGCTTATTCGCAAGCTGCAGGCGTACCAGCTGTAGGGCTTGGGAACTCAATGACAAGCGCGGATGTGTGTGGAGAAGCACACTCTTGTTGAAAAGAGTGTCGGAGACGCGTGAATTAGTCATACAAAGCCGGCCAAACGACAGGTTACAGCATTCTCTAGAAGGCCGTACCGTCCCCGGGTCCGCCAAACCAGTGACTCGAACGCACTTCCATCAACAATGTCCACTTCGGAATTTTTGTTATTCTTAGTGTCTCCGTGCACTCCAAGATCCTTTGCAGGTTCCAGGAAGCCCGTATAACCGTGCTATTGCCTTTGCACATGCGCCATGAACTAAAATTTGTTGTGTTGCAAAGCCATCCAGCTGAGATATTGTATCGTTACACTAAGATGTCCAAAAAGGGTATGCTATAAAACGGATGATATTTACCGTACCTATAGGACGGACTTGGACAATGTTGATAAAAAACAAAATGTCCAAATGTCCCTCATGTAAATCAGCACGTGAAATCAAAATATCTTGTCCTATCTTTGCACGTGGCGACTTTCTTTTTGTATCATTCAAAAATGATCACCCGGTAGGTATGCATGCTTCCTAAACAAAATTATGTCAATGTATCACACAAACCCAACAGGGACCTGAAATAACACAAACACGAACCGAAAAAGCTCATACCCGTCCATGATTTGTCAGAGACCGTACCTTTACATTTGCGAGAGAGTGAGCTTCATCAATTGAGTACTTGTGCCGTGACCTTTTCACCTCTGCTGACGCCTGGGTCACGCCCGTGGTTTGGAGCTCTCCCGAAGAGAAACGCCGCACGAATTTCGCCCGGGCAGTCAACAGATGCTCGAGAAAACGACGCCAGCCTTTGTGGCGAGGCATTGATGCTCAGCTCTGGAGGAATTCAGACGCCAGTCAGTTGTATCTCACATGACTGATAAATGACCAGCGGTAGAAATCAGGTTGCGGTATTCAGATGCATGGACATTTAGCGATGATAGATAGAAAATGCACTTCCACGGAAGCACTGTGCTATTTGTGCATTAAGATACGATTTCAGGACCATTGTAGTTCCTTGGAATTGGTACTGAAATTGGTATGTGATAAACCTGCTTGACATAATTATGCTATCAGAATCATGAGCCCAATATCCTTGAAGCTAAACGTACGAAAATTGCTGCAATTACACAGTTGCACGATTTTGAAAGCGGAAGGCATCAATATCAACCGCAAATGACTAAAACGCAGAAACATTCCGCTGCAGCAGGCGGAACCGCACAGTTCCCGGAAACACTAGATAGCAAGACATAGTACCTATACATTACCTATGTCGGCAGCCAATGTTCAAGATCTATGTATGTGGCATCAAAATCACCAATTACCTGACTTCGAGTTCGAAGTATTTGTTCACCTGACTGAATTGCGGCCCTAATGCAGAATTTGTCTTAAACAATTACCTTTTATTCTGGCGGGGCGGAGACGCGACCTGGAAGCGAACCTGGTTGGGAGCAATTCATTCGTACAGGCATGGCTTATGGTAGAACGAGGCAGAAACGCTTTCTGGCGAGTACCTGTTGTCGTATGTTGCATATGGTTATGTGTTTGGAGGGAACGAAATACCCATGCAATATTTAGTTGTAGATGCGATGGTAGGTTTTGACTCCGTTGTAATGTTGGTTGTAGTAGTTTTTAGCCAGTCAATTCAATGAGGGAGATATTTCATTGTTGCTGTACTTGGGATTGGGTCTGATTGAAACCGATATACCACAGAATACCGCCGATCCCCACGCTGTTCCACAATTCATTCTTCCCACCGATCAGTCGCAAATGACGCGCTACAGCTTGACACAATCTCGTCTCACTCATGTCAACACTCAATTGCCCTGAGGCCGTTCCGGCGTATTACATACCACTTCCGGCGGCCTGTACGGTTTAAACCGATCTCTCTCGGCGGCGCTACGGTTGATATTAATCTGACAGCCCACTGACAAGGCGAGCAGCCCCGCCCTTTCACTCGTGGCGAGGGCGACAGGAGTTGTTTTGGATCAGCGTACCATTACATTAGCATGCCAAGCCCTCGGGTACTGATGCTGATATAGCCAATCATCTTAACCACACAGCACATGCTCGTTGAACACATTGCATGGTGACATTGGCGTATATTTTAGAAATGTCAAACGGCTGTTAATCAACTCAAGAAACTGGATATATCCAATCAGATCGGCAGTCTAAATTTGCGACATCTTTGTGGAAAGTACATGAAAAATCGTCGCGTTAAGTGCAGAAGTGCAGAAGGGTGGTAATAGCACATGCATGAATAGGGGCATCAGGCTTACAACTGTTGCAATATTTCACCCCATTTTACCTTTGTAAGTGTCATGAATGTGCAAGCTAATGGTGTAAATGGTACGCTAGGCTCTCTTGTATAGTCCCAAGCTGTTCGCTGAGAGCATCCAACGTGACTCGAGTGTCATTAAGTCTGCAGAGTTTCAACAATTGGGCTCTAGGGGAGCCCATTTATCGCGGGCAGAGGGTCCACGGTCTCTTGCGCTCTAAAAGCGTCTCCGTCAGATGTTGGAACTAGAACAGTTCATGGCAGTCGAACATGAATGGCCCATTCGTTTAACCACAGCTAAGGGCAATAAAAAGTCTTCCGATCACGTCCACACAATTTAGCTCAGCGTTCTACATTCCCTAACCTTAATGAGGCAAATGAATAGTGTCTAAACAGTGATTCGAACATGTTTGCTGTATAGTTCGTTTTTCTGAGTGTTTAGGATGCTTGTTGTTTTTCTGAAGACACCATTTTCCATTTGGAAGCCGGTTGTATGATGTATGAAATTTGATGCTTTAGCCTTACTCCAGCAAAGTAAGGAAATTTTTCCCATTGACCCTAAGCCCTATTAATTTTTTTTAATTTTGTGAATAGTATGTAGTAGCCTCGCATCGTTTCAAACTCTTGAGAAGGCTTATGGTTCACACATAAGGTGTGAATAACAGCTTCGAGCCATGACCATTGCGACATTGCCAGCGTCAGATCACGTGACCCGGCTGACCCGTCACAGCACAGGGTCACATGACCTGTGCTGCCATCCACTCTGTATGCACCGGCGGACCGCAACAATACCGCGGCCGGCGGCAGCTGCAGAAGTCACGTGACCCGACACAATTGCCACACCGCCGCCCGCAATGGGGGACGAAGTCGGTCATGTGACCTTCGCACCTGTCGGCTTCGAGGCTGCGGCTTTATGTAACTTATGTCGTTATGCCTGAACAGTCAAGATGTTTTCTTCAAATTTCGCTCACTTGGATCATTTGCAAATAATTCGGTTATTTTCATAACCTCAGTTTCATTATAAATATGAAACTAAAACATTATACAATGAATCCACTGCGTAAATATTTACTCTAAGACAAAAACAACTTATGCGCCATATTTTCGATAGCACCGAGTCGAAACTTAAGGCTCTAGCAGAAAATGAGCCAATGTCACTTTCCGAAGCATGCTCGTCGCCGCAACTAACCGCGCAATGATGCATTGGTGCCAAGTGCTGCGGTGTGAAGGGGGAGAGCATTACTTCGAACAAAGGGAGAGAGAAGATGCTGAATAAACATGCCACGTGTCATGTTGCAACACATCCTGCCGTTTTTGTTGCGTTTTTGCGTTGGCGTCTTGCACAGCTAATGTCCTTTTGTCGCCCATACTGTGATAGGTCAGGGAGGATCACAGCGTTCTTGTTGTGTTGTTTTCTAGGCACGTTCTCCAATGATGTACACATTGGATGCAGCATAATTCGTTGGCGGAGGTGTTGTTTTGTTTTTGTGGTGTGTGTCAGGTATGTCGTGTCGCAAGTAACACGCTGTGTCTCATTGTGATGGACTGGCGACTGAAAAACGGTGATGGCGATGCAAACAGATTGCGATATTTGATTTACTCGTGCGCTGAATTTTCAGTGTGTCTAGCCCATTTGTGATTTGGTAGTTGTTTTTTTTTTTGTCCCTACATCTATATTTTGTCTATGTTTTTCACTGCCACAACCACGCTGCA